CCCCACTGGAATGTCAGCTTCATGAGGACAGGAACCTTGTCCACCTTGGTCACCCCATGCGTAGAACAGCTTATACAACTCAGGCCCTCAGTAATTATTTGGTGAAAGAACAAGCAAGTGAATCAATGAGACTTCACAACGCACTGTGACATGTTTTGTTTTCCTCCTTTTTAAGTGAGAAGACAAGGAAGCAGGGAGGGTGGAAGGTGGCCTCTAAGACTGCCCTCAGTGGTGCCTGTCCCCCACTTCATGCCCTGTGTGATCCCCTCCCACTGAGTGTGGGCTGGATCTGGCGATTGCTTCTGGCAAACAGGATATGGTAAAGGCAATGGGATGTCACTTCTGAGACCAAGTTACAGAGGACTGTGACTTCCGTCTCAGTGAAATCTCTGTTGCCTTCTCAGCTTGCTTGCTTTGGGGAAGCAAGTAGCATGTTGGGAATGTCCACATGGCAAAGAACGGAGGGCAGCCTCTGGCCAACAACCAGCAAGGAACTGAGGCCCTCAGTCCGCAATGAACAGAATCCTGCCAACAGCCACCTCATGAGCTTGGAAGCAGACCCTTTTTTCAGTCAGGCTGTGAGATGAGACCACAGCCCAACAGACACCTTATTCCGGCTGAGAGACTTCTGCAGGACAGGGCCAGACTAAGCTGTGTCCAGAATCCTGGCCCCCACAGAGGCGATCAAATAATACATGTGTGTTCTTTTAAGCCACTAACTTAAGGGTGATAGGTTACATGGCAATAAACAGTGAATACAGAGAGGTCAAATGACTTGCCTAACGTCGCACAGGCATCAAAAAACTAAGCTGGGTTTTGAACTCAAGTCTCTCTGACTTTAAAATCATTCTGCTTACCTGACCTGACTCCCATAATAATAGAACATATTGAGAGCTTGATTCAGACCTGACCACACAGTAATATTTCAGTTGCATTCTCTCATTGAACCTTCACAGATTTTCTGAGACAGGCCCCATGTTTACTCGTGATACAGACGCAGAAACAGGGACAGGGAGCATCCCACTCTGAGGGCTCACATCAGGGCTGCGGGCTCTTCTTTTATCTCCGCCTCACAGGCTTGCCATTGGATTGCCTTGAAGCGAATTTCAGAAATGAAGAAGGATTCGGGATATCTCTGCAAATGCTATGCCTGACTTGGTCTAGTTTGAGCTGATGACAGAATACTGTAGATCGGGTTGGCTTATAAGCAGCAGGCAACACTTATGTCTCACAGGTCTGGAGGGAGTTAAGTTTTATCATGTAAATTGAGGGTGAGAGGGGCACAAACATTTACTCTGCAGCAAGGCCCAAGAGTGTGAGAGGGGGAGAGGGCAGCCCTGAGGACTCTGCACCCCTGATCTCCAGCCTCGGCTAGGAGCCAGCTCCTCTTGGAGAGTAAGGGGGTGCTCAGCTACGGTCAGCCTCATTCACCTGTCTTGGCTGGAGGTTTTGGAGATGCGTGTGTGTGTCCACATGCTCGTGCACCTGCTCACCACCCCCCCCACCATGAGCATGGAAATACCTTGCACCCGAGGTCACATGGACGTGTACAGAATGAAAGTGCCCAGTCATCCACATCCTCACTCAGTCTGATGGACTGGACACAAATTCCACATGCACGTAGACACACCACACCATGCCAGGCCTCGCAAATGCACACCTAGCCCGCACAGACGTGCTCCCTCCCTTGCAGGAGGCCGAGGAGTCCTGCAGACTCTGCTGCATCTCGGCTCTCTGAGTGTGTCTGGGGGATTTTGTGTGCATGCGCATGACCACGAGTACCTGCATTGTGTCCTGCCTTTGTGCTCGCAAGTGTGTCTGTGTTTCTTTGTTTGTCGGAGTAACATCTGTCCGCCTGGATGTCTGTGTATTTTGGAGTCTGCAGCTCTGTTTAGGTGTTTCTGGCTGTGTATCCCCATGCGTGTGACTATGGCTGGCGTGAATGTGACTTGTGGCTGGGCCCCTCTGTCCCTTTCTTACTGCTCTACCTACTGTTTGCTGGCTGTGCCTGTGTGTTAGCGCTCTGCATCTGTCATCTGGATGGACAAGGAGTGTTCCGTGTGTGCTGTTGGTTTGAGTCCATGGCTACGTTCTGCCTGTGTGACTCGGTGTCCGCCTGCTGTCTGTGACTGCTCTGACCTGTTTGTCTGTGTTGGTCACTTCCTGGCCGTGTGTGTTGTCTGTTTGTCTGGCCTGTGTTCTGACTGTTGTCTGCCCACCTTCCTGGTCCTCTCTCCACCTGTGTCCACTCTCCAGCCTGGCTCCCACTGGTGTCCTATGGGGAATGGCCAGTGCCGATGGACCAAAGGGAAAAGAGTTGAGGGAAGAGGAAGCATTTTAGGCAAACTGAATCCTTGGCTGCCACAGAGAGGGAAAGGCTTGCATGTGATGATGGGGACCAGACGTGGCCCAGCCTGGCAGGATGGGGCTGGGGGTCTGGCCTCCGAGCCTGCATCATCTATTGCCCACCCATCCTGCGGAAGGCTCAGAGGCAGGACGCCTGGGTCTCACACTGGGTGGGGGCAGGGGCCTTCCTCCGGGGACGTCACCCGTTAAACTTCCTCTCTCAGCCACACAGGAAGCTGAGCCGGCTCAGGGCCCAGCCCCAAGAAAGCACAGGCCCCCAGGACCCCTGGGGAAACGGGCCCCCCGCCGGGCCAGCCCTGAAGGGACCATGGGATCCACAGTCGAGTAAGAGCTGCCCCTTCTCCCATCCTCTGGACCAAGATTCCCAGGCAGGCCTTGGTTGGGGCCAACGGGACCGAGGCTGGGGCAGGCCCGGGAGGGACTGTGAGCCACAGGGGCAGGTGGCTGGATGCAGGGAGGACTCTCAGCTGGCCTACAGCACGGACTCCGCTCTCAGGCACACTCAGGCTACTCTTGGCCCCTCCAAGCTCTCTCTCTCTCTCTCTCTCTGCCTCTCCCCAGGGTCTGTATGACTAAGTTTGTAACCCTGATCCTGTGCCTCTTGGTGTATCTGAGTGATGGGGAACCTGGCTTCCGGGGGTCCCCAGGGTGGAGGGGGGACTCTGTGTGTCCATATGTGTGAGTGATTGATTGTGGGGTTCTTGCGTCAGCGTGAGGATGAAGGGATGAGGGTCCCCATGTCAGGGACAGTGTGTCTGTAGTCAGTCCCCATCTTCTTCCTCTGTCACCCTCTGGATCTCACTGTCTCTCTCCCTGAGCCCAGTCCCAGCATCCTCTACGTGGTGGATGGAGGCGGGGGACGGGGGAGGGAGGCAGAGACTGCAGGGTTCACAGAAGTACCAGGGCATGCCGCCCTCTTTCCTCTGATGAGAAACCTGGGTCAGTCCCCAGGGCCCACGAAGTCTCGCACACAGAGACACACAGGCAGTATCTCTTTCTCTCAAGACCACAGGGTGTTTGCACAGATACCCAGCGACCTGCATGGCCACACAAGAAAATGGGGATGTTATTCACCTGCACACTGGCATGACTGCACATACTCACAGTCTTACCTGATTCGTAGCCTGGACAGTCTCATCCTTCAGGCAGACATGGAATAGAATTGCAAACACACACAGACACACACACACACACACACACACACACAGACGTGAAGACCCCACACAGACACAGAAGCAAGTCCCTGGACCCACTAAACCCTTTCCTGTCCACACAGAGGGGGTCCCCCTGCCGTGTTTGATTGGTTCTTCGAAGCAGCCTACCCTGCCTCCCTGCAGGAGGGTGAGTCAGGGGCATGGCGGGCTGGCGGGAAGGGGGGAGAAGGAGGGTGGGCCTGGGGCCCAGAATTTAGAAATCTGCTCTCTGTGCAGATCCCCCTATCCTGCGACAGTTCCCCCACGACTTCAGAGACCAGGTATGCCGGCTGGCTCCTTGCTTCCCCCTGGCCAGGGCCTGTCCCTCTGGGGAAGGGATCCTATGTCTTGGACCAGCGGTAGCTCAGGGGTGGGAGCCAACCTGAGTGGTCAAGCAGTGAGTGCTTCTCTCCATCCCCAGGAGGCTCTGCAGATGGTGCCTAAATTCTGCTTCCCTTTTGATGTGGAAAGGTATGGAAGGGAACAGACACCCAAGGACCCAGGAATTCAGACCTTTCGTGGGTGCCCAGGGTTCAAATGCCCAGAGACTCAGACATCAGTGACCATATACCCAGGGACCCTGAGACTCAGGGACCCAGTGACCCAGATACCCAGGGACTCAGACACTCAGACACCTGGGGACCCTGGCACCTAGTGACTTACACACACAGGAACTCATTTCCCCAGGGACTATGGGACCCAGGAGCTCAGGGATCCAGGGACCGTGACAACCAGGAGCCTGTCCGGGCAGGGCCCCAGACTGGTGCAGACAGCACTAGGAGCATTGTTGGGGACATGGGGGAGGGTCAGGGGGGTGGGATGCCCAGGTCTCTCTGAGGCTCCTTCCTACCCCCAGGGAGCCCCCCAGCACCGCTGTGCAGCATTTCACTTTCGCCCTCACGGACCTGACCGGCACCCGGAGATTTGGCTTCTGCCGCCTACGGGCTGGTGCCCACAGCTGTCTCTGCATCCTCAGGTGGGGGACACGAGGGCCTGGGGTCTGAGAGCAGGAAGGGCCTCTGCCTAAGGACACTTCAGGGAACCCGTGCCCCCTCTCCGCAGCCACCTGCCTTGGTTCGAGGTGTTCTACAAGCTGCTGAACACAGTGGGGGACCTCCTGGCCCAGGACCAAGTGAGACCGGCCCCTCCACCGTTCCCACGGGGCCCCAGCCCCCTCCCCGCCAAGCCCCCAGCCTGGCTCAGAACTCCCAGGCCTCACCTGGGCTCCTTGGCCCCTCCCAGGCCACCCAGCCTGAGTCAAGGCCCTCAGAGTCCCCAACCCACTTTCTGGCTCAGACACCCCTTCCCTACCCAGGTCTCAGAGGTCGAGGAACTTCTTCTAAATCTGCTGCAGCAGCCGCTTCCTGGGACCCAGGACTCACTGGGGCTGGAGCTGGTGAGTAGCCCCTCTCTCCTGGGCATCGGACCTCAGGTGGATGGAAAGGCTTCACCCCAGCCCCGAGGACCACACACTACCCCTCTCCCCCAGGGCAGCGGAGGGACAATCTCCAACGCACAGGGCGTCCTGCCCCCCGCCCCAGGGAAGAGCCTGCCGGTAAGCAGAGCTGGGGGCTCTGGAAGGTTGGGTACCCAGATGAGGCCAACCCCCTGACTGATCCATCCCCCCTGCCAATCCCCCACCAGCTTTCCTGCTTTGTGGCCCCCGACTCTGGCCGCCTGCCATCCATTCCTGAGAACGTGAGTAGAGGCCTGGGAGGGAGTCTGGAGGCGGGAAGTGGTCCCGAAACCCAGCGGGGGCCGTCAGATCCTGCGGTCCCTCGCGTCCAGCTTTCCCCTCTGCTCTTCAGAGGAACCTAACGGAGCTGGTGGTGGCGGTGACCGACGAGAACATCGTGGGGCTGTTCGCCGCGCTGCTGGCCGAGCGAAGGATCTTGCTCATCTCCAGCAAGCTGAGCACCGTGAGGCGGGGCCGCCGGGCCGGGGTGGGGCCGAGGCCTGGCTTCGCCCCTGGGGGCGGGACAAACGGAGTGGATTCCAAGCTCTAACCCTACCAGGCCAGATCCGAGGGCAAAGCCCTGGCTCTGCCCCTTTGAAGGTCAGGGTTGAATTGAACCCTGGCTCCACTTTGAAGGCAGAATCAGAGGGGGTTGCGAGGTACCCTCTCTTCTTGGGGAGTGCTGAGTCCAGACTCCATCCACTATGGGCCGGAACAAGTCTGACTCCGCCCATTTTGAGGGCCAGCTCTGGAGGGCTAAATTCTAGCTCCGCTCCTAGGGGGAAGGACGGGAGTAGGGGAGGAGGCTGAATGCTGGCTCCACGCCTAGGGATGCGGCCCAGGAGAGAACTCAATTCTAGCTCCGCCTCTTTGGGGTGGGGTCAATGGAGCTGAGTAGTTGCTCCACCCCTAGAGGCGGGACCAGGGCGGGCTCAGTCCTACTTCGACTTTCAGGGTGGGGTCAGTGGGCTGAATCACTGCCCTAACTCTAAGGAGAGACAGTCCCGAGGGTTGAATTATTAGCTTCGCCCCCTAGAGAGAGGGACTGGTACAAGCTGAGTCCTGGCTCCACCAGTCCTAAGCACCACAATTTGCGGAATTCTTGGTCTTCACCTGAAAGGGGTTTGAGTTTTTTACCTATCCACTAGCGGGTGGTAAATGGGGGCGGATGGAGATAGGAGACTGGGGACGTGGGGAATGAAGCCAGGAGAGCCACCGTCCCAGAGAGGGTCCTTGAAGCTGGGATCCAGGTCCTGACTCCACGGCCCCCCACCCGACCCCAGCTGACATCGTGCGTCCACGCGTCCTGCGCCCTCCTGCATCCCATGCACTGGGAGCACGTGCTGATCCCCACGCTGCCGCCGCATCTGCTGGACTACTGCTGGTGAGGGCCGGGAGCTGGGGAGAGACAGGGCTTGGGGAAGAGGCCTGGGGTCCTAGGGGCCTGGGGGCGGCGCCTGCATGACCAGCCCCCTCGGTCTCCGCAGCGCGCCCATGCCCTACCTCATCGGAGTGCACGCCAGTCTCGCCGAGGTGAGCGGGAGCAGACCTGGACTGCAGGGGCGGGTGGGGTTCCCCCTCCCTCTGCCTCCCCAGTTACCCTCCCCGGCCAAGGATCCCGGGCTCCGAGCAGCCATCCCCCTCCGACTCCCCAATGCAGAGAGTGCGGGAGAAAGCCCTGGAAGACGTCGTGATGATGAACGTGGACTCCAATACCCTGGAGACACCCTTCGACGACGTGCAGGAGCTGCCCCCAGAAGTGGTCAGCGTCACCCCCTTCCACCCTCCTGCCGCGTCTGGGAGGCGAGAGTCCACACCCACCTGCTCAGCGCTGCCCTTCTTGTCCTCCAGGTGTCCCTGCTGAGGCTGCGGCTAAGGAAAGTCGCGCTGGCCCCCGGGGAAGGGGTGTCACGTCTCTTCCTCAAAGCCCAGGCCCTGCTCTTCGGGGGATACCGTGATGCGCTCGTCTGCAGCCCGGTGAGCAGTGGGGACATGGAGGGAGAAGCCCCGTGGGCCCCTGAAGGATTCAGAATAATAATGACACCTAGCGTTTATGGGGTGCTGACTCTGTGCCTCCGTTTGCTTATCTATAAAATGGGATCCTAATAGTACCCACCCAAAAGGGTGGTGTGAGTCCATGAATGAGCATGGTAGTGCCTGGCACGTCGCGAGCACTGGGTAAATGCTAGATTCCACCGTTGCTATTATTATCTCATTTAATGCTCACAACAACCTTATGAGACAGAGACTCTTACAGTTCCATTTTATACATGAGGAAACCAAAGCTGAGGCCAGCCCCACAGCGGGTGAGTGTTGAAGTCAGAACTTTGATCCAGTAACTTTCAACCCTGACCACGCCCTACCCCCGAGGTTTTCACTGCTATTCTATAAAAATGTGGTCGGGAGAGTCTATCGTTGGACAGTCTGATGTTCCTGTCGGCTCTGCCCTTAGAACACATCCAGAAGCTGCCTATTTCTCCCCTTCCTCTGTCTCCACCCTGTCCTGGTCCCCACTGATGCTCGCCTGGACCAGAGAGCCCCTCCACCACCATGAGTCCCCTCTCGCGGGCTCCCGCCCTTACGCTCCATAGTCTGTCCTCCCCGCAGCAGCCAGAGGTCACCTGGGAGTATCTGAGTCAGGCTCAGTCCGCCTCTGCCCACAGCCTTCCCAGGGCTCCCACCCAAGTCCTCCCTGCAGCCCATGAGGCCCTGCACGAGACCAGGCGCACAGAGGCTCTCTATCAACGTTTGCTACATAGGTGTATGGTAGAATAAGGAAGACAGAATACGGGATCCAGGGGAGCCGCGGGGAGCTTAGAACCCGGTCCTTCTTCCAGGGCCAACCTGTGACCTTCAATGAAGAAGCCTTCCTGGCGCAAAAACCCGGGGCGCCCCTGCAGGCCTTCCACCGCCGAGCTGTGCACCTGCAGCTCTTCAAACAGGTGCGCCCGAGCCCTGAGGGCGGGGCTGGGGCAGGAGGGGCGGGGCTACGGGCGCCAACGCCAGGTTCCCTGTGGGCGGAGCTGGAGCTAGAGGGGCGGACTCCTAGGTCCAATGGGAGGGTGCCTGGGCCCAATGGGCGGGGCTAGAATTGGCTCTGCCGGATCTCCCCAGCTCCAGGGCCTCACGGTAGCAAAGGCAGGACTGAATTCTTGGTTTCCTAAAGAAGGGAGCCCCTGACCTCAGTTCCTAAGAACAAGATCTACTTCTAGGTCCCTTAGATGATTGGGATGGAATCAAATTATTGCATCCCTTAAGCTGGAGCCTCGTGGGTCGAGAGTGCAGATCCCTGTCAGACTCCTTTTGTGGGGAAGAGAAGCAGGCTGGACTCTTGGGTCCTAGGGACGTTGGGGGAAAGTGGAGCCGGACTCTTGGGTTCTTGGGGGAAAGTGGGATGAACTCTGGGGTCCTTCGGTGAGGGCTGGCTTCTAGGGTCCCTGAAGGTGGAGTCGACCTCTTCCGGGTCACTGAGAGGAGGTGGGCCTATCTGGAGGGGCACAGTCCTACCTTCCCGCTCCTGTAAGGGCCGGGGTCTGGTCCCTGAAGACAGATGCTGACTTGGGGGGCAGGGCGGGACAGGGAGAGAATGGACCTCTGGCTTCCTGAGCTGGGCTCCAGACTCCTGGGTCCCAGGATTGGGTCCCCGGGGAGGGCAAGGATAGCTTCTGTCTGGAGGGTGAGCGGATCCTTGGTCCTCAAATTCAGACTTTCTGACCATTTTCCCCACCTGCAGTTCATCGAAGGCCGACTGGAGAAGCTTAACAAGGGAGAAGGCTTCTCAGACCTCTTTGAGCAGGAGATCACCAGCAGCGGGGCCACGTCAGGTGAGCTCTGCACCTTGTCCAGGAGCCCCCACCCCACCAGCGGCCCAGCCTGAGCCTGCCTGCCATGACCACACTCTCTTCTAACTCCAGGCGCCCTTCGCTCCTACCAGCTCTGGGCAGACAACCTCAAGGTAGTAACAGTGAACACTTTAGTGTTTATTACTGGATTAATGTAATCCCGCAACAGTCCCCACTATGCCATTTATAGACAGAGGTGAATAAATCAAGGCTCAGAGAGGGAGAGGGGCTTGTCCAGCACCACACAGCCTGGGTGTGCAGGTGGGGTATGGGATAACAGCTCCCCCGCCCCCACCATACCCAAGCCTCTCTCCCTGAATTTCTCTCCCCTGACTTTCTCTCCCCAGAAAGGTGGTGGTGCCCTCCTGCATTCCGTCAAGGCCAAGACCCAACCAGCCGTCAGAAACATGTACCGCTCGGTGAGGCTGGGCTGGACAGGACACTTTCCTGGGGTGACAGAAGCAGAAGACATTTTAATTCCAAGTTTAAAGTGCAAACTTGGAGGAAGAGGGTATAGCTCAAGTGATAGACTGGATGCTTAGCATCAGGAGGTCCTGGGTTCAATCCCCACTACCTCCTCCAAGAACAAATGAATAAGTAAACCTAATTACTACCCCCTCAAACAAACAAACAAACAAACGAACAGTAAAACGCAAACTTTATCAGAACTGAACCAGCAGTTAAACCAGTTACAATGTCTCCTAATTTTATTTTCCATTTACCATGTTCATTCATTTCTGTCAGATCATTTCTTTTCTATTTAAAATTGACCACCAAGATTCTTTGGCAAACATCTTTTGTCCTTCTCAGACATAACCCCAGCTTCTGCCCTTGTGTTGTATATATTTCCTCCCAAGCCCCAAAGTTTCCCAGGACCAACTCGTGTAGCTCCAAATTGTCCATTCAATTTTATTCTTTGCTTGACTTTTGAACACTGACACATTTTTACGACATTCTGTTTTTGCCACTCCCCATTTCCTTTGGGGGTTATTTCCTCCAGAAATATTCCTCTTGTATTAGGCAACGGGGCAAGCTTGTACTGACTTCTTAGGTGGTACATGGGGGATCTGAATATATTTTGAGACACATGAGCAGATAACAAGACGAAGCTCTCCTCGGGGATGGAGGGCTGAGTTCTCAAACGTCCAGGGTCAAATCACTCAAGTCTAATTCTCTTTTGGCTCCTCCTTAGGCGAAGAGTGGCTTGAAGGGTGTGCAGAGCCTTCTGATGTACAAGGTAAAGCCAGTGGCCAATGCCAGGGGGCCGTGGGGGAAGGGGGTCCTGGCTCACCCACCCTCTTCCTAGGATGGGGACTCTGGTCTGCAGAGGGGGGGCTCCCTGAGGGCCCCTTCCCTCACCAGCCGCTCAGACCGCCTGCAGCAGCGCCTGCCTATCACCCAGCACTTTGGACAGGTGAGAAGGCCCCCACCCCCAATGTGCACACCTGGATCTATCACCAAGTCCTCTTCCCATCCCCAGTCTCCATTCAGACATTTCGCCTACCCCACAAATTGGTGCCCACTTCATACTTACTCTCCTGCACACACATTCCTGAGGCCCCATCCCACTCAATCTGTCCTTTGCAGAACCGGCCCCTTCGCCCCAGCAGGAGACTCCAGCTAGAAGAGAAGCCTCCTGAGTCCCTGAGGGAGGGGTAAGGCTCAAAGGCAAGAAGAGGGTGCGATGCTGGAAATGAGATCCAGGACTGATCAGGAGGATGGCCCCAACCTCCAGACCCTTCAGAGCGGCCAGTCTGGGGCAGATATCTGAGGCTGCCCATCTTCACCCAGGACACCCACTCTGAGCCCTAAGGATGCCCAGGATCCGTGGGCAGAGGAGGCTCTGGATGGCAGCTTCCTGGGGTCCGGAGAAGAACTGGATTTGCTGAGCGAGATTCTGGACAGTCTGAGCACGAGAGCCACGAGGACCAGCAGCCTGCGGCCCAGCCAGAGTTTAGACTGCTGCCACAGAGGGGACCTGGACAGCTGTTTCAGCCTGGTGAGCGCCCCCTAGTCCTTACTAGGGGGGATATCCGACTTCCAGCCCCTCCTTCCTCTAAAGGCTAGCAACTTGCCCCTCTCCCCGTCTCCACACAGCCCGACATATCAGGAAGACCAAGATGGCAAGCAGACGATGAGAAACTGCCAGACCCCCAGCCCCTGTCCCTGCCTGTCAGCCTGCCATCTCTGCAACGCCCCCAGCCTTCGGATGCCACAAGCGCCTCAAATCACCCCACTTCCCAGCTGCCCTCAGAGGCCAGCCAAGATGTCATTTCTCCATCCCAGTCTTCAACAACTTCTGCAGACCCAGGCAGCCAAGGGGACCCCCAATACTCTCTCATGGAGCCCCACTCTCTAATCCTACATCTCTCCCCTCCCCACTGGGCAACTAAAGACCCCACAGCTCAGGAGACCCCTTGCTCCCAGCTCTCCGCAGTACCCACCCTGCCCAGCCCTCCAGAAAGCCCCCAGCTTCTGGTCCCCATGAACCCAAATCTGGAAATTACCTGGACATCCCAACCCCTTGATTCTTTCTCAGATCCTGGTGCCACAGAGAACCCCAGAGCCCAGCCTTCCAAGGGCCTGCTAGCACAGTCTGCTCCCCTCCAGCCCCATGAAGAGCCCGGAGCCCCCATGTCCCCCACTGCACCTGCTCACAACTGTCAGGAGTCCCAGGCCAGGAACCGGCCCACAGTCGCTGAGCTTAAAAAGTGTTTTGAAGGTTAAGGATCAGGGGTATGGAGGAGACTCCAGTCCCTCAATAAAGCTGCAGAACCAAAAAGCTGGTTTTTCCTGGTGGGTTTATCTGGGAACCCTCTGTTCGGAAACCTACCGCCATCCACAGCCTTCCCTCCACAAGGCAGCCTCCAGCTAGCTCCTAGGTGCAGCTAAAAGCCCCTCCCTTCCAGGAAGCCCTCCCAGCCCCTAAGAGACTTTACAATTCATCTCTCAACAGCCTACAAGCCCTGCATGTGTCTCCTCCACCTAGGCTAGTCCCTGCCCCCACCAGCTCACGAAAAGGTTTATAACACCGCACAAGTGAGCAGCCTTGCCCTCCCTTGTCCTCAAGGGCAAAGTCTCTGAAGCATCTTCTTCCCTCCTAGTCCTAAGCACTGGGTGGGTTTGGCTTCCCAGAGAGGGCTCTGCTTCCCCTCAAGTTCACACAGCCAGGAAGGGTGCTGGATAGAGGAAGGGAACCTAGATGGGCAGGCAGCCCCGCACTGTCTCCTTGGAGTCCTGGGGAGCCCGGGCCTCAGCTGCATGGGAGAACTGAAAGGAAAGGAGAGGGGGGTGGTCGGGCCTTGATGGCAGGGGGACAGATGGCCTAGCCAAGATGATGCAGCAAGCGGGGAGGTGGGTCCCCAGCCCCGGCACCCCAACTGCAGGCGGAATCAAGCAGAGGCGGCATGCTTCGTGGGGCCCGCCCAGCAGGTGCCCCGCAGCCGCCCCCAAGTCCTCCTGAATCATCAGAGGCTGGTGTCTCGGTGGCGGTGGCCGAGTGTGAGCGAGCGCCGGGCAGTCCTGGGCAGTGGTGGTGGCTGCAGCCAGCCCCAGCATTCAGATGAGCCGCTCCTCAGGCGGCAGCTTGAGGTTGGGGGGTGGTGGAGCTCGGGCACCCACCTGCTCCTCACTGCTGGGCCGGTAGGTGCCCTCCGTCTGCCGTTTCTCCCGAAGCTTCCGTACCAGCAGTACCAGGCCCACGGCCAGGAGTAGGGCAGCCAGGAGGGAGAAGACCACGATGATGGCAGTGGTGGCCTCCTGGGACTGCAGGAAAGGGGACTGGTGTGACCCACTCAGACCTGGGGAACCTGTCCATCCCCACCTGAGAAGCACCTGGGGATCCTAATCCCCTTCTCGCACACCTGCCACTTTCAGTAATTCGGTTCCTCCAACCAGGATCCCCGTCCAGCATATCTGGGGCTCCCAGGCTCCCCCACCTGCCACTTCCGGGCTCCTAGCTCCCCCTTCCCCCAGCCTGAGGCACATATGGGGCTCCTGATCCCCTACACTTGCCATGCATGGTTTTCCTGCCACCCCCTTCCTGGGGTTCTTGGTCTCCCCATTTGTGAGTTGCTATCCTGGTCTCTCCTACGCCTGCCCCCCCAACCCTACCTGCCACCTCTGAGAGTCTGGCCCATCCCACTCCTCCTACATGTGGGACTCCCAAACAACATCCCTGCTACCCTCCTCCCACATATACCCCAACTCACCAGGGCCCCATTGGCGCCGGAACTGGGGCCAGAGGGCGAAATGGTACTGTTCCCACTTACATGGGGGTCCGGTGCTGTGGGAACAGTGGGGGCGGGCAGAGGGGAGAGAAGATAAATGAATCCCCATCTACCTTTCTCATTTCGACATATCTGCTTCTTCCTTGGGCAAACCCCCCGCATTAGCACTCCACCCTTCCAAGTCTTCCATTCTGTCGGTGCCCTCCACGCAGGGGCTGGCCAAGGTTTTGCTACTCTGGCCAGGGAGTTAGCAGTTGGCACAGAGTTGTTGCAGGGTTGGGGGCTGTTATAATGGATGCATGGACGGTGTCCGGAAGCTCAACCCTCCTCCCACCCCCAGCCTCACCTCTCTGGCCCTCCCTCTGCCCTTAAGGATCTGGGCGGATCCAGTATTTCCCTAGAGTATCTGAGTCACACCTCCCCCCAGGCTCTCGAAACTGGAATACAAGGCTGAAAGGCTGAGTCCACACCTATGGCCAGCCTGGTCAGCCTAGGCTTGGAGCCCCAGGCAGGCCTCCTCCTGGCTCCCAGCTCCCCAAAACTCCTCAACCATACTGAGATTCAGGCACTGCAGGCCTCCTCTCTCTGCAGCTCACAATGCCACCCAACTCAGGAATTCTCCTAGACTTGGATCATCCAAAGAAGAGCTCAGAAATTCTAACTCCCCAGCCCAGATCCTGTAGACTCCTGCCCTCGGGCAGCCCATGCCCACTCCTGGGTTCTTGACCTGTGTCCCAGGCACCCAGTGCTTCTAAGCTCCGACCCCCAGCGCCCCGGCCGGTACCTACTTTGCCCCCAGACCCGGCCCCAGCGGGCCAGCAGCAGCGGCAGGCCGAGCGCCAGGAGCAGCCCCAGGCCAGGACTCGCCATGAGCCGGGCGACGAGCTGGTGGCACTGGGGACAGGGCTTCTCGAGCGCGCCGCTCCTACCGCATCTCCAGCCGGGGATACCTTCGACCCGGCACCTGGGGGCAGGAGAAGGAGAAAGGCCGGGACGTGGGGGAGGGGCGTGGACCCGGGCGCGACGGCCCGAGGGGAGGGGGCGAC